CGGCTAGGAATTTTGCATTTCACAAAGAATTTTGTTTTGTTTACCGTGCGTACTTCAAGTACTGAAACTTAATTCAAAATGTTTTTTTTTTGTTGTCACAGTTATAAAGCTGCCTTTGGTTATAGTTACAGTAACTAAATTTGATTGGACTAGTCGGTCGTGAAGCTTCCGATAATTGCGACCGCTACGTTTAAATAAAGTTGTTGACAATCTGAGTTTATCAATACTAATTAATCCAATTACCTCTAGTTTTTTTTTCTTTTTGTGAGTTGTGCTTGTTAAGACAGAAAATGTGAATATGTAATGCACTATGAGTCCATGACATGAAGTTAAAAAGAACAAAGAATCACAAGCTCTGCATATAACATGTACATACATCCCATTGAGATTCGAAACCTTTGGTAAATCATTCCAGACAATTGTCGACGTTAGTAAGACCGATTTCCTTTCGTTCCAAATCATATTTTGTCTGAACACTCCTAATCGTTGGGCATTTTCCCAAATACGTCACCACAGTTTTAAGATTTAAAAACGTTTTATGTACCCCCTGGATGGAGCACCACCTAGTCCCCGTGAACTTACCCTGGGACAATGGCCACACCGCCTCTGAGTTTGTGGTTTTCTTAATTCAAAAATAAACTATACTGGGGTGAGTGTTTATCATTTTGTGCGTTTAATAGGGTGCTCGAATGCCGAGGTTGATGCACGTATATTTCATCTTGTGACAAGTGAACTAACATGATGCACCATGACTCAGCTGGCAAACGACCTTGGTGAAAACAGAACTTTCGCCTTCTTTTTTTTTTACTTTCACTATCCTGAACAATTTAGGGCAGAGGAATGGTAAATTGCTTTCTTTTGTCTTGTTTTGCTTATCATCATTTCCCCCTTTTTTTGGGGGGGGGGGGTGGTGGTGGCAAGGAGTACCTTTGAAGCAAAGTGGGGGGGGCACGTGAGCACTATTTTTTAACCATTAGTGATTTTAATTAATAATGCAACGTACATGTAGATAAGAATTGGTGCGTTTTAAGTTAAAATCAATGTCGTCTACCAAAAATTTAAAAAGATTGCTTTACATGTTTTATAGCTAGCGTTTTAAACAATCAAAATAAAATGTGAAATGAGACAAAAACCACTTATTTGGCATTGCAAATCTTGTATACTAACAAATTTTGTGTATAAAGTAAATGTTCGTCTGATAGGGGCCTATCGAAAAGGGGTTTGTATATTTTGACCACAATTCAGTCGACTTAGAAGTGGCTATGCATAGCGCCATCTTTTAAAAAATACAGTTGATATCTTTATTTTTAAACAACTAAGAGTGCTTAACAGCACTGTTGTCTGGTTCTATTATTGAAGTGACGTATTCGAGTATTGTTGTTTGGTGCCGCTCTTGGTTTCAATACAAACATTACACCTACTTGAATATCCATTTGTGGCCAGGAGCGGCGATTACATCCATATTGATGATTGGTACCAAGACCGTTAAACAAAAACGCAAGCGTGATGTTTTAACAGTGTAAAACAAATGAAATGGGCCTTGTTGCACCATTACGCCATACATGACAATTATATTCACAGATCATTTCATTTTATGTGATGTAACTTTCAGTTTCAGGGTGAGTAGGTATCGTTTTGGCATATTTTACACTAACCTTTATCAGATCGAAACTGAATCGGTGCCCTTACATTTAAAGGTACCATTAACCCCCAATTAAATTTTTTATCAAAACAATTAGGCAGCAATGTCTTCTTGTACATTACAGAAGAAAAATACTGATTGCAGTAGCTTTAATTTGAGGGGTTTCATCGTTTTTACGATCTGAATTGGGAAGTATAAGTAGCCTATGGAATATGTAGATATAGGAAATATGATTTTGGGATTTTCTCAAACGCAGATAGCAAACCTTTCATATCGACTCCATAAACAATTCCCTGGGACATTTTCAAAGGATGCCCTCCTTAGTTGTAACTAGGACGACTGACACCATTTAGACCGATATCAGTGGAATACTGTTATCATCGTGTGAACGTGGCCAATATCGGTCTCTTTGATGTTGCCGAGGACAATGGCATAGGGGTGGAACAACCTATTTTACACCTCAACAAACTTAATATAAAAGTGGCCCTGGGAACATTTACTTTGGAGCACTTATCAAAAAAACATTTGAGATAATTTATGTTAAGAAAGTGATATTTTATTGACCACGTCAGTGTTACTTATTGACAAATAAAGAGCCCATATTTTCCTAGTTTACCTCCGTATTGCCTTTTGTATTTGTTCTTAAAAGAAAAGCCGCCTGTTGATACCGTACAAAGGACCAAGCATAGACCAAATGACCTCCCAACTGCAATAAATTAGGTAAGTTTTGGTAAATAACCAAACATGTAGTTTCAATGGCAACGTGTCATGTACCACGATCACATGGCACACCACTCTGAATAGAAAGGAAAACAAAGAAATACCAAAGTGCGATTCAGGTTTTTAATTTTAAANTTTTCCAACAAAAAAGGCCTAAAGTCTTCAACCTCGTTCCACATAAGCATTAACACCTAATGCATGAGCACAGTTATATTGCATGCAAATTATAGAAAAATGTTTTTCTTTCTACATTCTTTACAAACTAAGCTATAGCACATATACATTAATATGAAAGGAAGCCTCTTGTGGATCATTAAATGATCTGATCAGTGTCCACATACCTTATTATGCCTCATAAATTACCAAGATGAAACAAAATGATTGTACAAACAACGTAAAACAAAACAATCGTGGCCTTTAGAGAGACAACGCATTGGCTTATCTTCTCTAATGTTCTAAAGTAAATCGTCCACTTTTACACTGGTGCCATTTACATTACACCAATTACATAACGTCTTGTTTTCTGCGCCACAAGTACACTGGTAATGAATCTAACGTGTAGCAATCAAGCTTCCAAATTTTCTAACAAATAACACATGAGCAAAGAAATGCAAGCATTTTTCAATCGCATTCAGCGTGCATTTCTGAAGACTTGTTGGAGACTTCTACTCATACCTCTTATTATGGTAACTATCATATCATATAACTATTATGGATTATACAAAATTGGAGTTTAAACACAATCATGTTACAACTAAGAATTAATAAATTATGATATACAGCATATATATTTAACTGGAAAAATACTCTCTTTGTACAGACTACAAACTGTAATGTTGCCACATTACACAATGATTCCTTCAATTCAGCAGTTAGAAATGCATGCACACTTTTAATAAAATTAGCTGGCTTACATCGTTTACGTGTTTATCATACATATCAAACTAAATCCTAAATTGCTTACAGGAATAAAGTCTACCCTTTGTACAACTATTCAAACTGGACAACCAGAATTCGGAGTTAAATGAACTTTTAATGGTTTTCCACAAAAGGAAAGACATACAAAATGTCCACTTGTGATTTCTCTGTACTTCTGGTTCTACCCAATAAAATAAAATATAAACAAATAAAAATGTTTTTGAGGCAGGATTGTTATTGCCACTAGCACCTAGGACACAATGGAAGAACAAAAACAGCCGTTTTCCCTCACAGGAAACTTTCTAGATTATTCCGATTTTACAGTCTCAAAGGCATATTACAAGCTAAGAAATCTCTGCTTTAAAAATGCACTCAATTGAAAGATTAAATATTAGGAATGCATAATTTAAAACAATCTTTGACTAAAGTCCAGTAAATGTGCATCCGAAAAGCACAAGGTTGCTAGTCAAAATTACACTTGTTAAAACTGGAAAATTGCTGATGACCTCTGGCCAGTTTGTAAACAAGATTTTACTTGTCCAGTCACAGTAACCATGAACTGTGTTCAGTTGAACTATAATTTTTCCCCCCAAGCTTTGTTACCAAGAGGAATTAATTCAAAGATCTGTGTGTTTTCATGTATCAAACTGACTTTTCTTTATCACAAAATATCTTGCAGGTACATTCTGAACATTTTTTGAAAGACCCATAAGAATGCTTTTAAAATCCAACAGTGTGAAATGCCAGTTGAACATTAAATACGTGACTTGCATATATTTACTCTTGAAACCGCAAAGTATTTTAGGTATCATATTACTATTATTAAGCAACATCCAAAATAGACAATCGCCTAATTCTTATTCAACTCACAATGGTTGAAACATTCCAATTTGAGCAGAATCCTGAAACCATAAATTCCAAACAGCTGTATTTCCTTAATTACCAGACTAAATAAATATCAGACAATCAAATAAAGTGCTCTTTTAAAAGGGGCACACCTCCTCTTATTGACTTTTTAATGAAGGTTCTAGGACAGAAATGAATGAAAATAGTCATGCCCCCCACTTGCAATTCAGATAATTTGCCGAGTATAAATCTCCAATCCTGCTGAGAAGACTTCAACATACAAAATGTATCAAGCTAGGCAGTACTCTTTAAGTTGGCTACCAATGAATGGGAAATCTACTAGGCAGGGGGATATCCCCATTTTCTGTAATAATTTTCCTGTCTAATGCACATTACTCCCACACATGCTTCATTGGTAATGAACCTTGGTGTAGAGGAGGATAATAAGGACCTTAGGAAACAAGAAGGGCCTACAAAACAAAACAAGGACCCACAGGCAAAATAAGGACCCAGCGGTTCCTAAAGGACACAATGGGGACCTAGATGGCACAACACGGCCCTAAGAGCTCAACAGAGACCCAGAAGAGAAAAAAGTCACACAGAGAACACAACAAGGACCTAGAGGGCACAGTAAATACCTGAAAAACCCAGTAAGAACCTACACAATAGGGGCCCTGAGACATAACAGGGAACTAAGGGCACAAGGGGGATCTTGAGGACTCCGTAGGAACCTCAAGGACACAATAGTGGCATACAGGATACAACAAGAATTAAAGGGCATGTTAAGGACCTGTAAGACAAAGAAAGGACTTAGAGGACATAAAAGGTGCCTTAAGAACAAAATACGGAACTCGATAAGGTACAAAAAGAAGTCTCTGCTCACACAAGTTTATAAACAATAAACCAACAGGTACAACTGGGATTGGTGGGTTTCAGAAAACTTAGGATAAGGAATGTCTTTTTGGACATCTGTTTCTGCTAAAAATCCTTCGTTGAAAAAAATAAAATTAAAAAAAAAACTTCATGCCTGGTATCTGGTAACTGTATTTAAAACCTCTTCAGTTTTCCCTTCTAGCATTTTGTAAATAAAAACGAGGTCCTTGTATGATTATTGCTGATTACATTTTGTCATGTTTGTTCTACAGCTTCAGTTTCATATTTCTTCCCATTCAACCATACAAAATGATCTGAAACCCTTTCCAGAAATTCTTTAATTCTCATTCTTAGATTTAAGTTTCAGGTTCAAAGTTTCTAGTCTGGAAATTTAAGCCCCATCCCTTTCTAGATTTTAGGACTGTATCAGTCCTAGAATCTCTGTCCCTATCAGTCCCATTTCGTCCAATGACATTCCAGCTGTCATCCCTTCACTGGATTGATGGGGTTCATGGGGTCGTGGTCGATACTCTGGTGTAGAACTAGCCCCAGGACGCCCGCGCGGTTTGCCATGGCCATACGAATGTTCCTCTCCTGCTCAAATAGCTCATCCAATTTCAGCCACTGTGAAGAGGAAAATGAGATAATATTTAGTGATCTAATTGCTCTGATTTCTTATGTCTTAAAACCTTCATTTGTTTTTTTTTTCACTTTCAATGACATTTTCTTTTTAATTTGGAAACAGGAAAAAAATGGGACTAATGTATAACTAAGCTTTCAGAAACAACAGTGAAGAAATCACACCTGTCGCACTCTTTCCATATCAATCTCAGAGCGGCGGAGTTTCTCCCAGCTGTGATGCTTGTTGCATTTACGTTTTGGCAGGCGACAGATTTCTCCCGTTTCTTCAAAGACATCTGAGACTAACGGACATCCACACACTTCATCTGGACCAACCTGGAAATGAAACCATAAAAACATGAATAAAAAAACTGTAATATTCACTTTAATTCTGATAAAATTTATAAAACATCAACTGGCGAAGAAAAAAAAAGCAATATTATCACTTAAATTCTGATACACTTTATAAAACCTAAAACTAGACAGAAGGAGGGGGACATAAAGGATAAGGGGAGGGGGATTTTTTTTTTTTTAATTCTTGACATATTTTGGAAGTTACTGGTTCATTTAAGCCACAAAGAGGTGGACCAAGAAGTGGACATTGGACAGACATTGAGAAACTCGACCTTTGGTTCTTTGGAATGCTCTGGACACAACACTTTTAATCGTTTGCAGTATGTCTTCTGTTGAGAATTGTAGTAGTCACAAAACATGGAGTTCCCTTCTATCCTGGTCTTGTAGATTGACCCAAATGATGTCTGGCTCTCATACTGGAAAAAACAAACAAACAAACAAATAAATAAATAACATGGACATCTTCTTGATGAAAAGTAAAGTGCTTTTTATTTTAAAAACTTGAAACATATTTCTTCTAAATGTGAATCATTCTTATAAAATCTGGCAAAAAAAACAAAAAACATGTAAATCAAAATGTTAAGGAACTTTAGAGTACTTTCGGGTTAGTCCAGCAATTAAAAAAAGCTCAATTGATTACTTACTGGTCATATACATTACTTCAAACAAACTAGAATGTCAATTGTCTAGAAAACAAAATATAGAGTAAGTGTCTTTTTTATGCATTTAACCAATCAAAACTCCTGTAAGAAACCTACCTTGGCAAAACACTTCTCCATGTGTTTCAAAGCACCTCGTGTATTGAATTCATGACCACATGTGACACAAAAAACAGTCAGTTCAGATTCATCCTCTCCTTCTGTGTTCTAAAAAGGAAGAAAAGCAGTACTTAGATATTATGTCTAGCTGATAAAATCAGTAAATAATTTTTAAAAATAGATCTACCTACCTCCATTGCCAAGCAAAATAAAAAAAATTAAAACAAAAAGAATTATTCTAATTATGACTGTGTGCTTGCAAATATCATCAACTTTCTTGACCAAAACTGGCTGGGACAGAGAAGACAAATAGCTTTCCTGAAGGGAAAATAAAGTTTAACGGCCATACCAGTTTTATATATATATATATATATATATATATATATATATATATATATATATATATATTGGTCCAGTTAAAATTCATACCTCTTGACCAAAATCCACAGTAGCAGTTTTAGCTTTTTCTACTATCATGTCAAGCTCTTTGTGCTTCAGATCAAGGTCACCTAGCCTCATTCTGGCCTCCAGCTGCTGCTGGCGGATCTTCTCCAGCATCTTCTTGTTATTTTCCTCCGCCACACACGGGGTGGACTGCCACTGCTGAATGCGCTGGGGAAGGATTTCATAAATGCGACTGGAATGATGAAATCAATTTTTAAAAATAATTATATGCTAATTCAGTCCAACTGTTTTAGATAAGCAAAAACAGATTTTCCTGTGAACCCTGGCCAAATTCAACTGATCAAAAATACTTGCAGTATCATGAAGTAAATTCATCATGTACAAAATCACATAAATTTTTCATAAGATGTTGCACAAATTTTAAATGGGCTCAAATTTGTGACTTATGGCATCAATGACTTTAAATAATTGAATTTTGACAAGGAATACTTTTAAAAAATTAAACAATAATTAAGAAATAAAAACTAACTTGGCAGCTAGTTTCATTCCACACTCATCAGAACAGTACTTGGACCCAAAGCGTGCAGCTTCTATACATCCTGGTCCGTAGCATTGACGAGGAGTGTCGCCGTCCGTCTCCTGGTATATGTCCACATCGTATTCCTTTTGGCCACGTCTGCGCACTGTCTTGGTTTGTTTGGGCTTTGGTTTCCTTTTCTATAATGATGAATACTGACTTATCAACATGCATGCATTATGAAAAAGATACTGTCCCTGGATAATAAACCAAAAAAAAAAAAATTACAATAATAATAATAAATAAATAAATAAATAAATAAATAAATAAATAAATAAATAATAATGATAAATAATCAAAGGTTGTTATAATGTTACATACACACAATATCAAAAGACAGTCTGCCACAATGTCTCCAATTATTCCTACATCATCGACAGGTGGAGAAAAAAAAGTAGGATGAAAGAAATCATAAATATAACAAGATTCATTTAGGTATTTAAGCATTTAAGTCAAGGTTATAGCCAGATGTTGAAAAAAGAACAAACCTCTGTCTTTTTCTTGTCAGTTTTACTCCTGCTATCTTCCTTTTGCCTCTTCCTCGGTGGAGTGTAGTCAGAGAGACTGGAGTGGCGCTCTCTTGACTAGAAAAGTAAAGTTTACGTAAATCACTGCTCAAATTGTTTTCATTAGTGGCTGCTTCATCAAGTGATAATAGGAAAAACAAGTAAGTTTTGCTGACAGTCCGCAGTGTTGCAATTCGTCAATTAATTAAATATATTTACTGGAATAAATAATTTTAAATTCAGTTACTGACTTAGACAGTATTACTGCATGTTAAGATTCTTATAGATTCTCTCTTGTACCTGTTAACTGACTTACCCTAGGATGATCTGACCGAATAAAATTTTCATTTCCTTCAAGATCCCTGGTGCTACTGTCACTGTAATAGAAAATAAATATATATTAAGGTAATCTCATGCTGTAATAGAAAAATCTGATAGTATCATTTAGGGAAATAGAAATTTTTCTAAACTGAAATTTTCTATTTTCCTGTATAAGAAACCGCTTTTGTTCCTCAAATGTGCAAAGTATGATAGTAACCTTCTCCATTTCTTTTTTCAATATACACCCAGACTTGCTAATATGCATAAACAATTGCAACTAGACAAAAGATTTTCCACCCCTCCCCCTCCACAACCTTTCATTTTAAACTTCACCCCCC